AGCGTCAACTTCAAGATGACTGAGTGAGGAATTTGCCAATTATTAATTTTTTATGCACTAAAGGTGCGTGATAAGATGGCGAAATTACGAGGTTGATAAAAACAGGCTACAGTATATTTGCCCGGCATCAAAGGGTATCTAGTATCGCAATGGTGTCATGAGACTGGTGATTACAAAACCATTGCGGTATAAGGTGCTGCACCATTTCCATGCGAGCCTGGAAGAGGTCATCAAATTACCGGCGAATCATATCAATAAAGACAAGCTACTTTTCGATTAGGGTCAATAATAAGATAACGATGTTTAGTTGGGCGTGTCGACTGTGAAACGGGGAGGGATGCGCAAGAAAAACTACCCGGAAGCTTGAAATCCATATTTTTGCCATAAATCAGATTTCTGCGTTGCTTAAATAGTGTAAAATCGAAATGTTCTGATAATTCGATGATGTGGTCTCTGAATACGTATTCGTGAAGACAATCTTATCTAGGACCAATCAATCATTGCGGATAGCTACAATGTGTGCTCCGACGCTTCAGTACGAGCAAATCATTCAGGCATTGTAGAGATCCGTTATTCATGTCTCATTTTATCAGGACATAATATCGAAACGTGGGCCGAATCGACGAATTATCAGCAAGGCGTCGACGACCGAAGAGTCGACTGATCTGACGAAGTGTTCTGCGAAGATCAATCTAGTGGTAGCTTGAAGAATAATCCTAACATTCTGGAAAAGGTGACTGTAGAAAGCGATCAGGAGAAGTGGCGTGCGGCCTTCGATCAGTAGAAATGCGCATGGCGTGGACTGAGGGTACTGTGAGACTGACCTTAAGGACTCCAAACGTGGTTAGTGTGACATCAGCGAAGGGAACGACTATGCAGTAAACATTGGAAAAATGAAGTGATGTATAACGGAGACCGATACCAGCCACTGATCGTTTAGGTCCCGTCAACATGGTAGGCGGACTGAGCCGCTTGATGGTTGTTCTTTCAATGGTGAGATCGGCAGTGATCAGGAAGACTGTATATGTCAGGTTCAATATGCCAACGTGAGACGCTGCGTTGGACGGCCAATTCACCCCGCTGAATGATTTAAGGCATATAACATCGAGATGCACAGGTCAGAACAGACGTTCGACGAACCTGGTCAAATACAAGTGGAGATTGACGACCGGTGGAAGTTGGATCGGTTTGGCTTGGTACGTCGATACAGACCCAACGGGTGTATGATGATGGCTCTGATGTCCGAACACGACGGTGGTATGATTGTTCCCTATGAATATCTCATTGTCCAGGTAGAGATGGAATGATGGAGTATTCATACACGCTAATGTAAGCCAAGAAGAATTAAAAAAGGCACGGCCGATTTAGCGGTAAGGTTTGCTGACATAGAACCGTGGAAAGCGATCGTAATAATAGACACATATTGGATGCTCGACTTCTTGTGAAAGCTCATCTGCGAACAAATGGCGCTTGTATACTTTTAAGAATGCTGGATGTGCAACCTAGTAACGGCTAAATGATGATTACTCGTCAAGTAATCTACCGATCAAAGATGAACTTGAGTATGTATTGGCCGTGTTTTGTATCGAAGGGGGATTCGTGTATGATGGAAAGCATGGTGACAACGGATGTACTTGATGGCGATCTAAAAAGATTTTTTCGATAGATAAGAATAAAAGAGTCAATCTAGTGGAATGCGTTCTGACGCTGTAGAATTGATCTATATACATTAAGAAATGGTAACAATATTTGGATACATACTCATATTGGGATATGTAGACAACATTTGGATACTGTACGAATACTGGGGTGCCAATACAGGTACTAGCGCACGTTTTCGACATTTGTCCCAAGGACACAACCTCTTAGGATACAAGGCTAGGTATGATAATATCATACGACTCACGATATGCTTAGCGAGTGTTTCGCAGGATGGAAAGGAACAGTCATAGGTCCGATGATAATTGTGTTAATTATGCATAGCTTACCCACACGCGTCTAGCAGCAACACGCGTCTTCGTTCCCACGGCAAGATTTATGCAGCTTTCCTCCGGTTGTGGGGCATGGTAACCAAGTTTTGAATACTGTATTCTCTACAGTCAATGGACAGAATGACTAAAGACTCTTTTGAAGCAGTACGAATCTGCGATTGAACTCAGGTACATGTACTGGGCTATCAATTCCGGCAAGGCCGATCTCGCTGACAAGTGGTATCGAAAGATCAATCTCCAGGTTCTAGACAATGAAGGGGAAGGAAGAAGTGGACGATTAAGGCCCGACAATCGTACACAAGTGCGTCTGAATCCGATAAAGAGCCCCGTTCTCGATCGACAAACATGATTGCAAGATCGATCCCGAGAACCCAAGATCGCTATACGGCTCAAGTGGTCAATAGAATTTGTCGAGTGGATACAAGACAAGGCCGAACGGGGTCAAGCATCCGCAGAATCGGATCAACCGATCTCAAAACGAGATCGCTTATTTCATACAGCTGCGTGAAGACTTCTGCGCAGTTATCACCAAAGTCAAGCCCAAAACCTGAGTGAGATAATTTTCTTGCAAAGCCGTTAAAAAGGAAGCCATCCCAACATATGGTTACACAAGGTGAGCACAAGGTGACGCACTGGTCGTAGCACCCTAACCGCAAGTCGGCATGTCTGCGCATAATGGGAGGTTGTCGTTCGCATCACCAGTGTTCTGTGACACGATAGTGCTCCAACTCGGTTTCTATTCAGCCGTCTATCTGTTTATAATGTGACGCTTGGCTAGGAGGTGATGGTACGGGGCGAGATCGTTGCTTGACACTGGCATCAATATCTAAATCACGAAGAAAAGTATCTCAATTCATCATACTTTACAATATAGGCCTAGCTAATAACTTCAGAAGTATTATTACAAGGTAATTTTCGAAGCTGCTTCACATATTGGTTGATGTATGTCAACATATCATCCAACTATGCCACCACTAATCGCTGCTAGATGCGCGCAATGGGGGTGATAAAGTAGCCATATTACACGTTTGTAGATTCATATAATCAGAGGTAGACCGAAATACGTCTTACAGAAGACCTTCATTATTTGTCGAAAATACTTCTACTTTTCCATTTTCACTTGACATCTTGATCCAGATTCACCTTTTTCTTTACGTACGTGTACGTGAGGTACAGAGGCACCTACTTACACTATGACCAGTGTACGTAGCTTCTGCGATGTCATTTCAGGCATCCGATGCCCATTCAACCACGGTAGCCATGGCTATGAATTACACATCACGACGTACGAACCTTCCCTTAGCCACCAACTTTAATCCCCTGATGTAGGCACGGATGTATTCTTAACGTAATTCAGTTCTCCGGACCAAATCACTTGTGTCAAGCACGAGCACCAGAACTTGCTACTTTATCGTAAGTTGTCTGCAGCAATGAGTCGCGATGACGTAGCGACACGTAAGATCTTACTACCTGGTATAGTAAAGCAAGACGAACATGTGTATTGATGCTGACAGCGACGGAAGTTTACGTACTTGGTGCGACCTTAGCAGCCGGGAACTCCACCCAAAAGCGATAGGGTACTCTATTACCGTTAACGCAGCGTAACCTAGTTATATGCCACATATCGAGTGCAATGTTAAAAACATCGCGCCGCGTTGTCCTCCAAGGTACCTGGGGGTGGTCCACGAGTACAGTGGACTTGTACTTCTGAGTAGACCCGCACCCCGTTGCACTACGGGCGTTTCGGCTCGTACGGCCTCCAGTCGCGCGTGTCGACCACCGATGGGTAATACTCGTCTGCTTATTGCCCTTCTCTCTGGCGAATTAGTAATCGCACCGCGCGCCACACGTATCAACCCAGGTACCTCCGGATCCCAATTCCAGTGCGTAGCCACTCGGTGACTGAGGTCGGTCGAGTGCGACTTACGACGAACGGTCTACAGAAGGTTCCGCCTCTCAACTCGTTTCCAACACTGACCTGCACGAGGTCTAAGAAAGGGCCACCACGTCGGCTCCCAACGAGTTGTCCGCAACGATTGGTCACGATGCCACTCAGAACGCGCGTCGATACCAGAAGGCCGTTCACTGAGCGCGTGCGACTTATCGTAGAGTTGTCCATCTCCGTGTTTTTGTAACAGTTGCGTACAGAGTAGGTCCGTTTCCCTGGTTATGTCGGGATTAGTACTACGGTGCGATGTGCGATCGCCACTGCAACTGCGTGACCAGCGGCTGAACCCGCAAAGATAGTGGCGGTGCATCTGCAGGTTCAAGGTTGCGTCAGAGTGGATCTGAAAAGGAGCATGCATCCTGAACTGCAGTCGATTGCTTGAATGAAGCAAGGTAGGCACAGTGGCGAGGGTCGGAGCTTCTGGAGACGAGAGAGAGAGAGAGTGAGAGAGAGAGAGAGAGGGTGGGGCCACGTGTAGGTAGACGTCCGGATCGCATTCCTCCATTTTTTACCCAAATGTGTCCCGCAGAACTGTCTCTGCAGTGCCGACAGTTGTGACACTTGCCCACGTGCTACGAATGTCGACATGATGATGTCTTGACACCGTGAGGTCCACAAAGTCGACAAGTCGTCGAGATTGTTAAGCTTGACACGCTATACAGTCTCTCCCTCGACGATACCCATTCCGTGGTTGCAGTTGCTGTGCCTCATCACTGGAACGTGTACGTGAAAGAACGCTCGCTTGACTTTCTTTCGCCTTCGTCCCTCCTACTCGTGGACAACCACACGGGCCGAGGATCCGATTTGTGCCAGCTGGCGTCGATGCTCAGTGGGAGTTTACAGATTCCGTCTCTTGTCACATGCCACGACGTGCCAGAGAAACCACTCGAGTCTGGACCTCCACGCATCTGGAGTTAACTTCAACAGCATCTTCTGCGTTCGCGACTTAATTCCTTCGGCATCAGACGATTCGGGCGGTGGTCTGCAGCTCTGCACTCTGACGGCCACAGTCGAATCTTCCACGTGATCCGCAAGTCCCGACTACTCGACGCCCCGCTGCCATGAGCTGCCTCTCGATCGACAGCGCAACAAGCGACAAGAAGCGCCGCTTCCCACTGCGGGCCTTCGAACGGTTCTGCGTCTCTCGACCCGACGTGTCGGCCAAGTGCTGCCACGCTCTCGCCATCCGCGGCGACATGGACCAACTGCTGGAGTTCCTCCCGACGGCCGTCATGCGCACCTTCAACCGCCACCCGCGTCTGCGAGCGCTGGTCGTCCCAGACAAAGAGTTTACGGCCGAAGTGCAGCCGCCGATCTCGCTGGACGATGTCGCCGACAAGCAGCTGCTGCGCGTTCGCGAGCTCTCCGACTCGGACGAAGACGCGGCGGCGTGGCAGAACTGGAACCAGTTCGTGCAGAGCGAGTCCCACAAGCCTTTTGACCGCTCGAAGCAGTTCATGTTCTACCTCACCGTGTGGGTCAACAAGGCCGAGGGCGGAGCGCGCTTCTTCCTCTTCTCGGACCACACCATGTCGGACGGAGACACGGGGCAGATCTTCGTCAACGACACGCTCGAGCAAGTCGCGCTGCTCTCGATCGAAGCAGCGAAACCAGTGTGTGAACTGCCCCTGCGTCCGTCGCTCTACGACATGTGGGTCAAGCAACCGTGGTGGCTCCGGCCGCTGGCAAAGGCCATTCTCACGCTCTCGGTCGTCCCGGCCTTTGTCAAGTTTATGAAGGCGTTCAAGCCTGTGTTGACCCCGCGCGAAGACCAGAAAGACTTCAGCGCCAAGTACAACCCCAACAGCACCACGCTGCTCAGCCAAGCAGGCGACCCGTCCAACATGCGCGACACCTTGCGCAGGTGCAAGGAGGAAGGCGTGACGGTCGGAGGAGCCCTCGTCCCGATGATGGTGCTAGCTTTCAACTACGCGAGTAGAGTGGAACGCAAGCTCAAGGCTATTGACGCGCCCGAGGAGACGTTCCGCCTCCTGGCGGACGTTTGTTACAACATGCGCCAACGTGTGCCGCAGCCCGCAGAGGAGAAGCACGTGGGTCTCTACGTGGCTATCGCTCCACTCACGAAGCTGGCCACAGAAGGCGTCAACATGAAGACTACCAAGTTCTGGGACCTCGCTCGGGCTTCCAAGCAGCAGATGGACGCTTACGACGACGAGCTGCTAGCAATGGCGCTCCCGTGTTTCCTCATTGACCGCAAACTCACTCGACCGAAAGTGGGCAAAGTGCTCGGCGATTTTACGATCCCGCGCTCGTGCACAGGCGACGCCACGATCTCGAATATCGGCCGCTACATGTTCAAAACAAAGCACGTCCTGGCTTCCAATGGCGTGCTTGAGGTGCAGGATATGTTCGGTTTCTGCGCGATTCCCTACATCGCCACGTCGTCGACGATTTGGCTTTCGTCCGTCAACTCGTTCAACTACTCGCTGGCGCACAAAGTGAGCGAGAAAGTTGGCAGCGAACTCTTCAATGCTTACGTCAAGATCTGCGAAAACACCGGCAAGATCGGAAAGGACGACACGATGGAGGACGTGCTCAAGCGCCTCGACATTCAAGTGGAGCCGAGAGCGCGTTGTTACTAGTATAGCAGTGTTTCTTCAAGCCTAGTGATCCGATGTGGCATGTCGAGCACGATAGGCGTTGCTAAATGCTAAGCCAATTTTGTCCTATAGATCCTTTCGATGCTTTGTTGTACCTGCACTCGGTGATGCACAAGCCGTCATCTTATCGTTAATGTGTTCAAGCGCATCTTGTGATCCGTCGGCTTACAAGATGAGCTCAAGTGCACAAACAAAGCTTCGTGGAAGCGCTGGGCTGTCTGCAGCAACTATCACATTGAGCGAGTGCTGTCGTAGATACAGCACTGGTAGTAAACCATATTGCAATCATCTGCAGCAACAATGAATCAGTGCTCGGGCAGCTTCAGTCTCTTGCTGACGTCTAGCATCATCAACGTACCTTATTCGCTTCGACACAACCGACGTTACAGACCCGATCGTCGTCACCATCGCAATGCTAAGTGGAAACCTCGAAGTCGAGGCGAAAACCCATTCAGGCCGACATATCTGCGGTCGCACGGTAGCACCTGAGAGTATGGTGGTTGTGACGCGCTGTTGGCTACATATATGTACAAAGTAGTTTTCCAACTGCGCCGGCCATTGAGGTTGCACCAGGCGTTGAAGCTGCATCAACATCTGCTCGAGAACAGAGCCGCATCAACATCTGCTCGAGAATAGAGCTGCAGCAACACCTACCAGAACAAAGAGTGCGCCCAACACGTCCATGCGATGCCCTAGAAGAGAGGCCGACTGGGTGTTAAGTGTGGACATGCTATCACATAGCAGCCAAGCAGCGTTTACCAGGCCGGCCACCCGGTCGACAATGTTACAGTAGTTCTTGAAGTACAAGAGGTGCTACGTGACCATAGCGCATCTTTTCTGAAGTGTCCTACGCACAAGCGTACTAGCGTCACTTGACACGACGCTGGCGCTCCATCGCCTACTCATGTGCTTGCAAAACCGTTTCCAAGATGACAACTACGACGCAGAGATCGAATGTAAGCAGAATCGGTTCGTTCCAAGCTCCGCATGTCAAGTGCATCTGCGGGCAGAGCAAATTGCGGCAGTATGCCGAGCACAACTAACTCCTGCAGCATCAAGCTTCTCCGATTCTGCGACGTCGGTGCTCTCCATCTGATGGTCATTGCAAAACGCGCACATAGAACAGCATAATTGCAGAACCAGGACTACATCTTCACGCATGTCTTGGAGCAATAGTGGTGTAAGATCGAAAGACGCCTCTGACTTACACGGGATCCAGCCACGACGAGTTGCTCAACCGGCGCAAATCTCGTGACTCCAAACTGTTCAGACATCCCGCACCCATTTGCCGATGAAATAGACAGTCGGCCATGGAACTTGTCTTGCACAAATCGTTTAGAAGAGACAGAAGTGGTGTCAGTAGCTACAACATCCCCACTGTCGCCTCAGAAAAAAGCGCTTTTTGTTTGTGCCAGCTGACTCACATGGCTACACTTTCTACCAGCAGGAAACGGCTGCAGACATACCGGTATTTCAGGTCCGGTGCACGCGACCGACAGCGGCAGAGAGCTGTCATTTCTATACCAACGCACGCAGCCGCAGCACAATGCGGCGTCGCGAGAGCAACTTGACGCTGAACGAGGACGACGACGCAGCAGTCGAGTTGGAGCATATCGAGCAGCCCTGGATGAGCGTGGAGCTGTTCGAGACGCTGTGGCTCCACGCGACGCAGCAAGTGAGCTCCAGCTGTACGTTCCTCAAGCCGGACGCGAGTGCGCAGTCGACCGGCAGTCAGTCGTTGGCGTCGTCTGGCGCCTTTAGTTTCCAGCAGCAGTTCCTCTCGACTCTCATGAGCGACCTCGTCGTGTTCCCGCAGCAAACAGAAGCGATGGACGCGCCCTTTGCGGTCCGAGCGTACGCAAGTGTCACGGACAATTACGGACTCAAGACAGTGCTGCTCGTGCGGATGGAGCAGCTGTACGGCTCGGAACAAATCGGTATCACCGTGAAGAACACCGACCCCGTGCGTCGGGCGCAGATGGCTGCATTCTTGGGGCTTTTGCAGCAATGCATTCAGCCAGGGCATGCGCCCAGGAGACCGCAGCCGAGACGGAACGATGCGTACACGAGCAAGTTGTTTCTGGAACACAGTGCCGAGCACGTAAGTGCTGACGGGCGCGCGGTATCGTTCGATTCACATTCGGTGCAAGGAGTGTCGACACGAACGTCTTCTGGTGCGACTGAAGCGTTGACGGCGCCGCTGCCGGCAGAGCGCCGTCGATCGCACACAATACGATATCGGACGGATCGCGATATTGCATTCGAAGGCTACTTGAGTAAGAAAAGTGACGTGCTTGCGAGCTGGAAGGCGACGTACTGCGTGCTAGAGGAAGATACGATGGCATTCTACGAGACGCGAGAAGACTTTATCTCGAACGTGAAACTCATCGGTCGAATTCAGTTGCAGGCTATCGAGGACGAAGACGCAGACAAGCCGAACGGTTTTCGTCTGATTGCCGAAGGCAACCGTGTGAATCATTTGAGCTCGCGAACTGCGTTTGAGAAAGAGCAGTGGAAGCGAGCGATCCATGTGAGTAGTCAAGAGGTTCTGTGTTCTCGGGCTCGGTGTCGCTTACATTCGGCTATTTTTGCTCGTGCTTGTGTGCCAGATTGCTATTTCTAGAGCACCCGAGATGACCTGCCTGCCGCACGTCGCGTTTGCGTCGCAGCCATTGGAACCGCATCAATTTTACCGACTTCTAGGCTCGCTGTTGCGGCAAGAAGTTGATAATTTCCCGCTCCTCTTTCGGAGCATGCATCCAGATGTTGTTGTAACGTCCAACTTTCCTCCGATCGTGCCGTTTTGGGGCCAATACCGCCGGTACGATGGTGTTCTGCTCTTTTTTTCTACACTCCTAGACACGGTGACGGTGGATAATTTCTCTCTTTCGGAAGTAATTGAGCTGGTACGGGGCGATGCAGATTGTGTCGACGATGTTCAGCACGATCCTGTCACTCCTTCTCCCATCTCGGTTGACTCGCATGTTTTGTCTCCTAAACTGGCCGACTCGCCAAAGTCGACCCCCCTCAGCGCATCGACGCCATCATCACAATGGACAAGGCGCCTGGTGGTGACAGGAAAAGAGACATACAACCTGCTCAAGGCGGAAAATCGGCGCGTAACACAGCTGTTTGTGCACGAGCTGTGGTTGGATCATAAGGACCGCTTAGTGCGGTGGCATTTGAATGGCGATGCTGTTGCACTTTCCGTTGCATTCGACGACGCCCCGCGGGGAGAAAACATTCGACTCGTTTTGCCTGGCGAAGCGTCAGCGATTTCGCACTCGATTCCGCCGGGAACCTTTTACGTGCAAATATTGCAAGCCCAGCAGCTGCACGTAAGTGAAGGTGGGAATGACCATGCATTGAAAGGGAATAGTCAGCAGTCTTCTGGCGCTCTTGCTTCGAAGAGGGGATACCCGGTGTATGCTCGGTGTATCCTGGAGGGAGGCAACCACATGGAACAAACTTTGCGTGGACTGGATGTCAAAGGAGATGGAAATGGGCTAGATGAGCTCGCAACTCCATCGTCAAATAAATTAGATAAAGAGATTCGCCGCCGTCCATCGAAAGGAACTCGTCTCTTTCGCGGATTGAGACGCGCTGCCGGAATTTCAGGGGAACGGACTGTTGCGATATTTGGCGACCCAAGTGGATGTGTCACGAATATTTGCAAGTGCTTGTCAACGACATCCGGTGACCGCCATAAAGTTGGGACGCTTAGCCCTGAGTGGTCAAGTAATCTTCGGCTAGAGTTCCCAGGCTGCACCCGAGGCTTTACGTATTTTCTAAAAGTGGAGGTGTTCCAGAGTCGCTTTATGCTTCCAGATGAACTGCTTGGCGTCTGCAAGATCAACGTAACACCGCATTTATCGCTTGTCACGGGATCAGCGGATGCCAAGGCTAACGGCGCTCTTCCCCGCTGGCACAATTTGTGTGACCAGTACAATGATTGCAAGGAATCATGGGCGCCGCCGACAGTGTTTCGGGGTCGTATTCAGCTTGGCATCATTTTCGCTCCATCAGTAACGTCTGCAACTAGTTTTTGTCAGCTGCGGCGTATGGCAAGCGATGGAGGGCTGCTGGAATCAAGGCGAAGTTCTGCCGATGAAAAGTTGCTACAAAGTTTGTCCGGCTACAACCTCCGAGAGTTCATGCGGTCTGACAAGCGAGCGTTTTCTGGGGCATCTGATATTCCAAGCGGAAGAGGAGAGCGATACGTGTCTCGTCAACTTTGTAGCCAAACGGATTCTTTTGACAAACGTCTGAATGACGTCACGAGTGCAGTTGCTGCGACGGCGACTCGTGGCAACAATGATAATGAGCTTGCAAGGTTATCTCGCGATAACCACATCTTTTTGGGAAAAACCACACCGTTTGATGTTCCGAAAAAGTACCAGCTGATTAAGGTGGTAGGTGCTGGTACGTATGGCGAAGTGGTCGCTGCAAGCGACATTGAATCAGGAACCACTGTTGCAATAAAGAAAGTGACGAATGCGTTCCAAGACCTGCCGGATACGAAGCGAATCCTCCGGGAGCTGTGTTTACTTCGACAGCTGAGTCACCCGAATCTGATCCAGCTTTATGACATTCCTCGGCCGGAGCGTTTATCATATTTGGAGGACATTTATCTCGTGACGGACCTTATGGAAACCGATCTGCACCGTGTAATTCATTCTACGCAAACACTAACGGACGAGCACGTCGCACACTTCATGCGACAAATTCTGCGTGCCCTGACGTACTTACACTCCGCGGATGTACTCCATCGAGATTTGAAGCCGTCAAACATTTTGGTGACAAGTACATGCGACATCAAGATTTGCGACCTCGGTCTAGCTCGTTATGTGGATTATTCGAAAGCTAGACGTATCAAAGGACGGTCGTCTGATGACATGCTTGTGGAGCTGACCGAATACGTTGTTACGCGATGGTATCGTGCTCCTGAGATTCTTTTGGATGGGTGCTGGTACGACAAACCCTCGGATTTATGGTCAGCTGGATGTATTTTGGGTGAACTGCTTGGCCGTAAACCGTTGTTCCCGGGGTCGAGCACGACGAATCAGCTAAACAAGATCTTCAACGTGCTTGGTACACCTGACATATTTTACACTTCTAAGATCCAGAAAGAAGCAGCGCAAAAATGGGTCACTCGTCAACGACGGCGTCCGAAGATTCCGTTTGAAGAGCTCTATGTAAACGCAAATCAGCAGGCTCTGGATCTTCTGGAAAAGCTACTCGTGTACGACCCGAAGCAGCGTATTACCGCTGCCGAGGCTCTTCGTCATCCGTATCTGCGGGAAGCATTCCGACCGGTAGCGGACGACAACGCCGGGGATGACGATTCGTTCTATTACAACGAAGCGGAGCAGAAGGAAGACCAGTTTGTGGGCACAATTGACGACTCGAATGAATACGTGGCCGAGACAAAGGAAGAAATGCAAAAGGCTGTGCATGAGCAGGTATGCCACTTTCACCCCGAGGCGCGCGAATTCGAGGAGTGTCTGAAGGAGCACGACGAAAAGTTTGTGATAGATCCGAAAACCGACAAATTGGTTTCGCTCATGAACGCACGGCAGACCTGAACATACGAGAACTATAGCACGAATAGTTTGGAATGCTCGTCGTGGATGAAGTGCAAAAGACTGGTGTTTCCATCGAAAGCAGGAGTGCGTGCTCCGTAAGTGGGAACGGTGCAACACTGTCTGCAAGTTAGGTTTCGTAGGAAGCGTTGCACGCTGCCGAAATGCCCACAATGCTATGATCAGTGTGAAGCGTTGGTATGTTTAGCGACGTACGGCTTCGGGTGGGTAGTGACGAGCCTGGTCAATGATGTTCTTGCACGCTTCGGTGCAACAGCTGCGAATTTTCCGGAGATCCCCATCATTTTTTGGATAGTACAGGCCCTACAGCTTATTGAGAAACCAAAGTTATTAGTCTGGCCCGCGGCGGCGAGAGAGGCCGCTCACTTGCACAGCCTTCTTGGCATGTGATGTTTTGTCAGCCCGGCATACCGTCCCCGCATCGTGCAAGTTAGCGGGGCTACGCACTGGAACTACGAATGCTCGTAGCTCTAGAGTGTTGTGCGTTTTCGACTAGTCGAGGCAAAGACCGTCGGAATTGGACCTCAAAAGATGGGGACAGCAGACGCGCTGGTATCAAAGACAGCGTGCCAAAAGCAGCAAAGTTGCGAACCGAGGCCGTCGTGCGACACTCAGCTGATAGAACGTTGAGCTATGATTGTAGGCTGAAGCTCAGCACGTAACTTTGCGCGAGCTCAAGTCGTATTTTCTCGCGCAATGAAGAATGATAGACCAAGTGGTAGCTTGTCTTGAGCGAAGCTGGTCTAGAATATGCGGTGTGGACTGAACGCCAGGGCGGGGTAGCTGAACGCCAAGTTTGCTACTAGCTCGCAACATGGGCTAGAAATTGCGTTGAACAGGGCAATTGGCCACTGTGTTACGAGTTTGGTTGAATCGCTAACACACTATGCATATGCAGAGCAATTTTGGACGGAATGTGGTTGTCCAGCTTGTGCTAACAGACTGCAATTGCTAGCTTCGAACTATATGCACTCGGAAGTCATCGTGGCCATCCGACTCCGTTCGTTTGAGCGCTTTGAAGGTGCCGGCGTCCTGGTGGTCTGCAGAGTTGACAATACCGACCTCGTTGCCGCGATGTATGTTACAACATCCGGAACAGGAAGTATAACGTGCAAAGCTATCCGAATGCACAGTTTGCTGTCGTTCAGCACAAGATGGAGTTGTGGCAGATTTCTTAACCTGCTGATTATTGCTTGCACTTCAGCCGAACAGACGCGCGGACTGGTCTGGCATCGTTGGGAAGCCTTTTTGATGGCAAACGCGCCGACAAATTGACAGCGTGTCCGTGAGATCGACGTAGCATCTGTCGATACGCGTCAAGCGCGATGTCACGTATCATAACACTTTGCTTGACAGCTACTTCAATGTCGATGCCACACGCTTTTGGTGGACCAACTGGAGCCAGCCCTAGCACGCTGTCAAGGTTTGCGATTTCGATACCATTTCGCGATCAAAAAAAGGCTGTCATGGTCTTGGCTTGTTTGGAATGGCTACCAGCGCACATTTGGTCTTGGTCATAATCCCAGCGCAAAGCAAGCAACAAACGCTACAGGGCTTGGTGTGTACCTGTTCGAACATGAGAACGATGCCACGCATAGCACGGCATGGCTGCTCGGCCATCCCCATGACGGCAGGATGCATTTCGTGGAAATGGTCTTAGATGCAAGCGTAAATGCGCTAGTCGTGCGTTCCTACCACGCCAATCTGGTCTGGTGAGTTGCCGTGAATGAAAAAACGTGCGGATGATTTGAGATACTGTTTGGCGGGCGCACCGTTTTCGTGCTGGATGACAGCGCACTGAGCCCTGGTGCCATGTCCAGTAAGGCGAGTACTGATACGGCGAAGAAGCTACAAATTGGACGGGTCCCGAAGCCACTTGTGCGCCTGGGACCCGTCGTTGGACTCACTGAACGAAGCAAGCGGTGTTTCGTACTGCAGACGCGAAGCTTGCACGTTTGTTGGTCCGGATGCACTGGCACAGTGCGCTGCGTTATTTGGTTGGCATCTGTTTATTCCACCAAGTAAAAGCTGATTGTTATTCGGGAAAAGTTCGTGGCAATTCACATCATCGTTGCACACGTATGTTGCTGTATCTAAGTCAAGCGTTAATATTTCACTTGAAACATGTGCGTTTGTCGCGTGCTTCGCAGAACTCGTGTTTTCGTTGGGTTTGAGAAAGTTGTTGTTGGCGGCAGATCTTGCGCGTACACCAACCACGTACTTGAAGCAAAGGTAGTTTCTCGGGAACTGCTGTCATGACAGCATCACGAACTGGTGCAACCGACGTGACGCGTCAATTTCGATTCTGAACTCGTATTCGTCGTTGGCACGCTCAAGTAGCCTGGTTTCCGACATGTTACGAGCAGCACGATCTCGTGTGGCACAGGCTCATCCTCACACTGCAGCGACGCTCCCCCTCCGATGACAGCAAATGACTATGTGCCGTGCAACATCGATGGTGGTGATTAGACGAATCTTGCACTGACGGAAAGAGTCACGAAAGTGAAATTGTCCTTGCCTTCGCGCATGGTCGGCTTTGTCCAAAACGTGGTAAGCATGTAGAGTCTTAGTTGCTGCCTGGCATTCGTTCTGGTTTTTTTTTCATGATGATATTTGGTACGTTGGCTTCTGCTGCATCACTAGCAGCCGGGACTACTACACTTGCAACCTGATGCAAGTGCTTACGTTGTTATTCCCCGATGCGCGGGCGGCTGAGTTCGCCACGTCAATGTGGCCTCGGTTTGAGATGTGACGGTCCAGCCGTTTCATCGCCATGTCGAACCATCCCACCGATACACAACGTCTTAGATCAGAGGGCCAGAAGTTTATATCCAGTCGGTCGTCTGTCAAGACATCGAGATGGCATCGAGTATGATACACTGCAGCTCTTACTTTCTCGAGTAATCGAGCTAGACCTGGTAGTAGAAAAAGATGCGTTGACTGGAACGTCATGCGCAGCACGTCGATTCTAGCACGGAGGCATAATATGTTAGTGCTCGCCCCCATGTTTGCTGCGTTTGTACCATTTGCATAGATGTTAAGCCGCGGCTACTATCACCGCTTTAAGGCTGTTCCTGCACTTTCAGCAACCGAGTACACCCGAATAGACGCTTGTTCGCGCTCTAATTTATCGCGCCCTATATCAATTCTTGTCTTCTTGGACACTGGCGTGCGTGAACAATGCGTTTGTTTTTGCCTTTGTACAAAAAGTTAGCAGTACTAGTGTACGACTGTGATGAATTATAAGCGGTAAATATTGACAAAGCCTTGGAAGTGCACGACCAGCTGTGGTCTTTGTACTGTACCAGTGTTGATGTCGGTGCTACAAAAATTAGGGTAGCACGATATAGCACAAATATGGTCCTTCTGTCAACTGCTGAAAGCCCACATCAGGTCATAAATACTCTGTCTGCGCTGACTAACATCAGGTTTCCCGGACTACTACCAAAAGCTTTTAGGATAGCCTATGAAACGACGCTTGTGTGCAGTGGGGATCAATTCGATGATCAAAATAGCACGTCGCTCAGGGACCCACAAAATGTCATCCTGTAGGAGTAAACGGGTCCACGCAAAAAAGTCGAGTCGAACTACTTGGCAAGTCAAACTTGGCGAGTCGGACTCATCGAGTGGAACGCGCCAGATACTGCCAAGCGAGTCGAAATGATCCGTCGGCTGAAGTAAGTCAAAGGCATCCTAAGCGAGTCCAACCAACGAGTCGGATCAGAGAGCTAAACTCAGCGAGTCATACTAAACAAGCCCCACTAAGCGAGTCTGACAGGCGGTTTAGACTGGTCAAATCAAACTTTGCAAGTCGAACACCGCGAGTCCAACTTGGCGAGTCGAAAGAAAAGCTTGGAACTCAGGAAGTACAGCGCAGCGAGTTCTACACGATGAGTAGGACTAAAGATCATACGAGTTGAGTCAGCGTAGTGAGTCCAGCTCAGCGATAGGAACCATACACGTCGGACACACCGAGTTGAACAGAGCGAGTCCTACCCCATGAGTCGGACTGGCCAGACGACCGAAGCGAGTCAGTCCAAGCAAGTCGAATCCAACGAGCAAACCTTGGCTGGTCGGACGCAGTGAGACGTATTCAGAACGACGAGCGCTGCGAGGCCAGCTCAGTGAGCGGAACCAGACAAGTCGGACGCACCGAGTTGAACAGAGCGAGTCCTACCCCATGAGTCGGACTGGCCAGACTGTCGAAGCGAGTCAGACCAAGCAAGTCGAATCCAACGAGCAAACCTTGGCTGGTCGGCCGCAGTGAGACGTATTCAGAACGACGAGCGCTGCGAGGCCAGATCAGTGAGCGGAACCAGACAAGTCGGACACACCGAGTCGAACAGAGCGAGTCCTACCCCATGAGTCGGACTAGCCAGACGGTCGAAGCGAGTCAGACCAAGCAAGTCGAATCCAACGAGCAAACCTTGGCTGGTCGGCCGCAGTGAGACGTATTCAGAACGACGAGCGCTGCGAGGCCAGCTCAGTGAGCGGAACCAGACAAGTCGGACGCACCGAGTCGAACAGAGCGAGTCCTACCTCATGAGTCGGACTGGCCAGACTGTCGAAGCGAGTCAGACCAAGCAAGTCGAATCCAACGAGCAAACCTTGACTGGTCGGCCGCAGTGAGACGTATTCAGAACGACGAGCGCTGCGAGGCCAGCTCAGTGAGCGGAACCAGACAAGTCGGACACACCGAGTTGAACAGAGCGAGTCCTACCCCATGAGTCGGACTGGCCAGACGGTCGAAGCGAGTCAGACCAAGCAAGTCGAATCCAACGAGCAAACCTTGGCTGGTCGGCCGCAGTGAGACGTATTCAGAACGACGAGCGCTGCGAGGCCAGATCAGTGAGCGGAACCAGACAAGTCGGACACACCGAGTTGAACAGAGCGAGTCCTACCCCATGAGTCGGACTAGCCAGACGGTCGAAGCGAGTCAGACCAAGCAAGTCGAATCCAACGAGCAAACCTTGGCTGGTCGG